GTGGTGTGTGGTGTGTGGTGAGTGGTGTGTGGTGTGTGGTGTGTGGTGTGTGGTGTGTGGTGTGTGGTGTGTGGTGTGTGGTGTGTGGTGTGTGGTGTGTGGTGTGTGTGGTGTGGTGTGTGGTGTGTGGTGTGTGGTGTGTGGTGTGTGGTGTGTGGTGTGTGGTGTGTGGTGTGTTGTGTGTGGTGTGTGGTGTGTGGTGTGTGGTGTGTGGTGTGTGGTGTGTGGTGTGTGGTGTGTGGTGTGTGGTGTGTGGTGTGTGGTGTGTGGTGTGTGGTGTGTGGTGTGTGGTGTGTGTGGTGTGTGTGGTGTGTGTGGTGTGTGTGGTGTGTGTGGTGTGTGTGGGGTGTGTGGGGTGTGTGGGGTGTGTGGTGTGTGTGGTGTGTGTGGTGTGTGTGGTGTGTGTGGTGTGTGTGGTGTGTGTGGTGTGTGTGGTGTGTGGGGTGTGTGGGGGGTGTGTGGGGTGTGTGTGGGGTGTGTGTGGGGTGTGTGTGGTGTGTGTGGTGTGTGTGGTGTGTGTGGTGTGTGTGGTGTGTGTGGGTGTGTGGGTGTGTGTGTGTGTGTGTGTGTGTGTGTGTGTGTGTGTGTGTGTGTGTGTGTGTGTGTGTGTGTGTGTGTGTGTGTGTGTGTGTGTGTGTGTGTGTGTGTGTGTGTGTGTGTGTGTGTGTGTGTGTGTGTGTGTGTGGTGGTGTGTGTGTGTGTGTGTGTGTGTGTGTGTGTGTGTGTGTGTGTGTGTGTGTGTGTGTGTGTGTGTGTGTGTGTGTGTGTGTGTGTGTGTGTGTGTGTGTGTGTGTGTGTGTGTGTGTGTGTGTGTGTGTGTGTGTGTGTGTGTGTGTGTGTGTGTGTGTGTGTGTGTGTGTGTGTGTGTGTGTGTGTGTGTGTGTGTGTGTGTGTGTGTGTGTGTGTGTGTGTGTGTGTGTGTGTGTGTGTGTGTGTGTGTGTGTGTGTGTGTGTGTGTGTGTGTGTGTGTGTGTGTGTGTGTGTGTGTGTGTGTGTGTGTGTCTGTGTGTGTGTGGGTGTGTGTGTGTGTGTGGGCGCGCGCGCGCGTGTGTGTATGTGTGCGCGTGCGTGCGTGCGCTTGTGCAAGCGAGCGTGCGAGCGTGCGTGCGTGCGTGCGTGCGTGCGTGCGTGCGTGGGCGGGCGGGCGGGCGGGCGTGGGTGGGTGGGTGGGTGGGTGTGTGTGCGCACGTGTGTGTGCGCGCGTGCGTGCGTGTGTGCGTGTGTGCGTGTGTGTGTGTGCGCGCGTGACTGCGCTCGTGCGTGAGCGCGCGTGTGTGTGTGTGTGTGTTGTGTGCGTGCGTGCGTGTGTGCGTGCTTGTGCGCGCGCGAGCGTGCGCGCAAGCGCGTGCGTGCGTGCGTGTGCGGGTGGCGCGCACGCGCGCGTGCGTGCGTGCGTGCGCGTGTGGGCGCGTGTGGGCGCGTGTGCGCGTGTGTGTGAACCTTCCTAGGTCACGGAAGGTGGGTTCACTACCCAGCGAGCTCCATGGCATGTGCTGGCTATCACAGACCATGCCATAGTGGTGTGATATGGAGCAGGGACGCCTGCTCCACGTACCTCATGTACCTAGTTGTTTTTTCCGGCTTCAACCGAGACTGCCGTGTTGGTGAGGAACCCTAAAACGTTCAGCTGCGCTGCCGTGTCTGAAAAGTGTGTGTGTGTGTGTGGGTGTGGGTGTGTGTGTGGGTGTGGGTGTGTGTGTGTGTGAGTGTGTGTGTGCATGTGCATGTGCATGTGCATGTGCATGTGCATGTGCATGTGCATGTGCATGTGCATGTGCATGTGCATGTGCATGTGCATGTGCATGTGCAGGTGCATGTGCATGTGCATGTGTTTTGTGCATGTGTTTGGTGCATGTGCATGTGCATGTGCATGTGCATGTGCATGTGCATGTGCATGTGCATGTGCATGTGCATGTGCATGTGCATGTGCATGTGTGTGTTTGCATGTCAGACATTTGTTCACGTGAACCAGTCTACCTTTTCAATAACCATATCAAATCAATATTGTGCAATCTATGGGGGCAGGTTCTGTCAAAACTGTCACAGAAGTGGGACAAATATTAATAATAAAACAAAAACTGCAGACGGGAAGACAGCAGGCACTGGCAAAAGCTGGGCACGCTGCTTTGTCTTGAAGCACGTGAAAGGAAAACGCGTCGCTGTGCGGGTCCTCCGCATGCCTGACAATAAGTCCACAGTGCAGTCTTACTGTTGCGCACGCCCGACTACCGACTGCCTGGCATCTGTGACACTCCTGAGGGACTTGCTGCTCCAGGCGGGATCTGTCACCCACCTCCTCCGCTTCCAGCTCCAACATCACTTTCTTGAACGCCTGCGACTACCGGGAGCGACAAGCACTGCACGCACATGCCCGCACCTCACTCTGCGTGTACTTCTCCGCAAGGACGCCTGAAACCACTGGCTTTCCCATTATCATTCTCAGCTAATTGGTAGGTTCAAGAGAAACAGCACCAGTTTCTTGTAGTCAAAATCATGACTCCAGAGCCATGCAATGCTTCTGATGCCGGCCTCGCAAGCGCTCAATGAGCTGCTGGTTCAGCATTAAATCCTCCTCTGCACCTGCGGCCTGCAAGCTGCGCAGGTGCGAGCTGCTTGCGGCTCTTCTTTCCAACAACAAAGGCGCGTGCATGATGGTCGCCGATGACCTTGAAGCAGTCGTTGCAGACTCGAACCTAAGTGCGTGCCCAGAAAGCTGTGAAGGCGGATCCTGAGGCTGCGGCAATGCCCAAAGAGGGCTCCTGCGGAATCCGCGTCCGGTGCCTGGCACAGCTTACTTGAGGTCTTCAGGCTAGTGGCGTTTAGCATGTTTCTCCTGTAGGCCCTGAGATGCTGCACCCTTTTGCCAAAGTTCCTCAGGTACCTTGTTCAAACCTGCTCTGCACCTGCTGCAGTCATCGCAGACCAAGCCCCAACAGCGGCGGCAGTGATGACGCCTGTCAGCTTGAGACAAGAGCCAGCTCGGCTATGCGCAGACAAAGACGCAAAGCTACACGCGTGCGGCCGCGCCGGAAGATAGTCGTGAAAGCAGTACCACATCGGGGACATTGGGTCTCCTGGACAGAGGAAAAGGAGTCGCTGGCATGCCGCGCATAGTCTTGCAGCCTTGGCATCCCGCCCCTGGCGCAAGGGTGCTGGTCGTGGTGCAGGTCAAGCAGCTTTTGCAACACCAGCCTCATCAGACCCCACAATGGACGAGGTGGGCGAAGTCGTGTGGACCTCAGGTCACTCTAGCACCACAGAAGCACAAGCAGAAACGCCCAAGAGCGCAGCTGACATCTAGCTGCTGCTCCGAAGGAAAGCTAAAGCAACCAAATTAGCTTGTAGAGATTCTTCTTGACAAATTCAATCGAACGGAAAAAAACATTGACGGAAGCTGGTATCATGGCTGTTGACTGCGCTGTCTAAACTTGAGCACGGGCGCGTGCAACTTGCAACCTCTTGACCATGCCCTGACGCTGTGGCCATCCAAACTTTCATCTTGGCAAGCCAGCCACTCGCTCCATTGATCAAGTCTGTTACACCAGCGAAGCGGTGTTGAAATGCCTACCAAGATGGCCGAGGTACCAACACCTCCAGTCAGCACCTGTGAAACCCGATTGAGCGGCCTCGCATACATATGTGTCTTTTCGAGTCGCCACCAAGCTCATTCTCAGCCATCCCATATTTCTGCCTTCCAGATCTCTCCTCGGAGAGCACATGTTTCCAGCACACAATACAATGCTCTTTGCAAGTGTCACACACATCCGGCAGCTCCTGGCCACTTCTGTGATTCCACTGGCCACCGCATCCTTCGCCACCACATCCTTGACACGTCTCGAGCTAATGGTGTCCAAAGCCTGCACGTCTGGCGAGCAAGCTGCATGGATTGTGGTCGGGTTATCTGACTGTCAAGAGCAAATGATCTTTTTCGACCTTCATGCAGCTGCCAGCAAGTCCGGAAAGTCTGCAGAAAGCCCTTGCTCACTGCCAGTAACCAACCCCCTAAAACATGACCGAATCTCTCAAACCAGCAGGGTGTTTGAGATAGGGTTGTACTGCCCCAGCAAGGAAATCATGTCGTTAATCCACTCATCTTCCAGCCCCACCATCCACGTCAAGTGCGAGTAGTCTGTGTACTCCTTGGAGAAAACCACATGCTTGTTGTCCCTCAAATCCATGAGAAGTCGTGCCACATCCTTGGGGCCTGCCAGGGTATCTTTGGAGCCTCGGAACAAGGCGGTGGCCATTTCCAACTTGCTGAGGTTGTACAAGGGGGCCTCCTCCGAGCCGTACTCCTTCAGGTTCCTCGCCTTGCCGTAGTCGAAGCGCCCGAAGTGCTCCCTGTCGATGAACTGCTCGTAGTGGTCCAGGTCCTTCACGCTGGTCCCGGCCGGGAAGTGGGCGGCCAGGTTCAGAATCATCTCCGAGCTGTCCAGCTGCGAGCGCCCGCAGATCGCGTCCACGGTCACGTCGCAGAGGATGCCCAGCGTCATCTTGCACAACCAGCTGCCCAGGGTGGGCAGCTCCGACCAGCTGAAGACATCGTAGGGGAACGCGTAGTCCAGGAGCGCGCCCAGTTTGAACTTCCTTGCCAAGGTCAGCAGAAGAGATGACTGGTGAGTCAGGTAGGAGACAGGAGACAGCGCCACAAAGAGATTCACATGCTTATTCAAGTACTCCCTGTCGGGTCCCTGAGCCGCAATGAACATCTGCGTCGTGCCCTGCGACCAACCCACAAAGGTCAAGTCCTTCCGCGAAGTGGCGTTCAACACGTACTTCACGTTGGCCACCACATCGAACATCCCCATGTCGTCAAAGGTGTAGTTCCAGAACTCTTTGTTGAGAAAAGGCTTCAAAGTCGTATGATTGCGGCTGAAAGTGTTTCCCCGGCTGTTGGTCAGCCAAACATCGTAGCCCATCTTCCAGAGCGCAATGCCCAGGGAGCGGTTTGGGTGATTCACCAGCCAGCACCAAGATGAGGCAAGTACTCCATGCTGAAGCAGCACCACAGGAGCCTTCGGCTGCCTGAGGCGGAAGGAACGCAAAATGTAGCCGTCCTGCGTGGTGGTGAAATGCTCATCCACCGGGATGTCGTACCTTGATAGATACTCCTCAGTGCTGTCGGTGTGATGGATCACCTGCGCGGAAAAAGTGGCCAACTGGGTAGCCAAGATCGCGCAAAGAACCCTCATGGTAAAGCCCGGTGTTAGTGCTGAGCCAACAACCAAAGCTGCGGGGCCTTGCAAGATTTAGAGCTGCAAGCTGTCTTATTTGCATGAGGACAACAAAATCTTGCATGCTACTTGCTCGCTCATGTGTTTCAAGGAGTCCGATGCTGTGGCGGAAAGTACGACTCCACTGGAGAGTGTAGCTGGCAGGGGGCTCTCCCTCCAATTTGCAATGCGTGTGCCTGATGCGATTCGGGGTTGCAGCGATCTGACTTTTTCGTAGCAACCCTGTCCCGAGAGCCTCGGGAGCCTGGAGGTCCACCGCGGAGACTCTGTCGCGACTTGGGGCCTTGGTGAGGCACTGGCACCTGACTCGGAAGCCTATGCCACAGGCTGCAGCTTCTCACCGACAAGCCATCAAGGTATCCAGGTGAGCGTACCTTGAAGGAATAAGCGTCGAGTCAAGTCTCCGTGCCGATAACGCCATGCCAGAGGGGCATTGCGGCATTGCCTCTAGAGGGCTCCTGCTGAATCCGCGACCGTTCCTGGCACAGGAGCTTGCGTGAGGACTGTAGGCTAGTAGGCGTTTGGCATGTTTCTCTTAGGCCCTGAGAGCATCCTGCGCCCATTTGCCAAGGTTCCTCAAGCACCTTCAAACCTGCTCCGTGCCTGCTGCAGCCATCGCATACCAAGCGACGCCCGTCAGCTTGACACAAGCGCCAGCTTGGCCTCGCAAACTCTCAGTCACGCACACACACACACACACACATACTCATAAACAGGTGCGTGCATGCGGCCACGCAGCGGACATGCAGCGCCGAAGAAATCCCAAAGCAACCAAATTGGATTGAAGAGATGGCTGCTGAAAAACCCAAATGCATGCAAAGCAAAGATTCAATTGAACCACAAAATGCGATGGATCAAACAACATGACATAGCTTCGACCTTGACTGCGCTGTCTGAACTTGAACACGGGCGTTGCTAAATGCCACTTGTCTGCGGGCAGTGACGGCTTGCGAGATGGCAGCAATTCTCATTCAGTGGCCACGAAATGCCAAGCCCCAAAGGCCGAACAACAGCTGCAAATGCCCGTAACAAGAACAACACTCTTTGCGGGATGGGACCGGTCATGCATTTTGTTCAACTACACATCTTATTGTCACGTGTTGACTCCGCCGTCAGCAGAAGCGAACACCTAAAGCCTCGAGAGAGGGCCCAGACTGCCACTGTCAAGCTCGCCTCAATGCATTGAGGCCACTCTTTTTATTCTGGATATGCCGTGAAGACATGGTGGATTAACTATGTGAGACTCCAATAAGCGGCGATTTCTGGCTCACATTGGACAGGCGCTGTCCATTCTAATCCAACAAACCAGAGTGGAGTCACTGCCAAAGCCGGGGAAAGCAGGTGGGACACATGTGTCAGCGTTGGCTGATGCTCTGGCAGGTCGCAACTCCGCAAGTGCTGACGCGTGGCTTCAAACCTTCTGTTTGAGAGGTCGATTGGCCAAGCACTGCATCAGATTTCACACAGGCGTGCATGCTCTACACGTCCGGCCAGGAAATCAAACCAAGGAATAATATAGGTGACATATCATACTCCATGCAAAATCCATCTATGACCTGGGCAAACAAACTTATTGACTTGAGCGGGCGCGCCCTTGCAAAATGGCAGCGGCCCTCGTTTTTTAGAGCTGCCAGCTGCGAGGCCCGCCAGCGCGAACGCTCCAAAATAGCGGGCTGTGCAAGCATCCCTGTGCTTCCGTCCAGAAACATGAGACAAAATCTAAGCTGTGCCAGAGTATTGCACAGGGTACGGACTCCTCGGGCAAGCGCCAGTGACACCAAAAGCGTCCTGTGCGGAAAAACTCCATGAGTGCGCGTGCTCGGAAGTGGGAAGAGTGGCTTGTTTAGTCTCAAGAGTGTGTCAGACCGATATGGCTGACCACTTTATGCCACTTTATGCCACATTATGCCACTTCCTAGCATCCATCGCTGAGCTTGTGAAGCTGTCCAAAGCAGCGCTGTTGTCATGTGTCAACTCTCAAATCTGTTAATCCACAAACTCACCTGTGCAAATTATCCACTTAGAGTTGCACAGAGCTCACTCTCAGCTTCGCGTCAGCCCTGAGGGAAAGACGTGCATAACGGAGAGCAAGGCAATAAAATGGTTGCGCAGGTTCAAAGGCTTGCAGCATGTGGGTCACTGTGCAGCACATTGTCCGTCCTTCCCCCTGCTTCTTCCTTTCCCGGATCTCTCCTCCCAGACTCCCGGCACGCACGTGTTCCTGCCTATGCATTGTTACGCACATCTGACCCAACAGCCAGCTGCACTCCTGGCCACCTCTGTGATTCCGCTGTCCACCGCATCCTCGCCACATCTCGAGCTTGTGGTTTCCACAAACTCGCAACCATTTGCGCAGGTCCTTGATCGGTTCCAAAGCCTGCGCATCTGAAAGGCAAGCTGGCAAGCTTCCCGGGCTCCCCACCTGCGTTTGTCATGCCAGGCTGCAAGGGCTGCGGCCTCATCGGTCGTCAAACCACAAGTACGGATCATAGCCATAGCATCTTCAGCTTTGCAAGTATATGGCAACCATTCTGCACGTCCCACCTGTGGTTGTCCATTGGGAGGTTCCCCTGGCAGTTGCAACCTCCACCCCCTCGAACCCCCCCCCCCCCGAACTTTGGCAACAGCAAGCGCCTGCCGAAGATCCTCTGACCTGCGAAAGGTACTCACAGCGCTCCCAGTGCCAGGCACCGCGTCCAGGAGTCCAGGGCTACGGCCCTGGTCGCAGGGACGGTGACCAGCCTGGCGATGGGAGACGCGTTCAGCGAGCCACGAACCGTGCACTTCGCGTCGGTTCAGAACACCGGCCTGGCTGAGCCGACTGAGCCGTCGCTGCGTAGGCGGCAGCTGCGCGCGATGCAAGGTGCTTTCCATGAAAGATGTGGCCAAGGAGCAGCTGACCACAGATTGAGTGGACTGCCTAGATCTGGATGAAGGGCGCCATGCAAGCCCAGCGGTCCTGCATAGCTCAGTTAGAACTTTGTTGCCGAGCACATGCGGAGGCTCCTAAGGCTGGATTCAGCCGAGGATCACCAACACCAAGACCTGACAGCAAGTCAGTCAGGCGACCACATTATAAACTAGCGTGCCCAAGCACGTCGGTCCACGCCAAACCAAGTCGCCGGCCATAAGGATTTGGTGGTACCTAGGCAAGGCTGACATAGGAGAATACATGGTAGCGCCCAACACTCATGCAAAAAACAAAAGCTAAAGCTTAAGTCTCGGGTGAAACGTCCTGTGCTACATACATGCGGTGCTTTTCTGCAAAGAGATGGATGTTGCATCATGTTGCCATGTGTTCTGAAACGACTCACGGGCCACGCAAACCACGGTTTTCCGAATCGCTGTCACTCTAAACTCCACGTTTGGGCACCTCGTAGCCACATCCAAGATGCCGGAATGCACCTGCAGGCCAGCACCAAAACCCTCCTAGAAAATGCAGCTGTGGACAGCCCTGAAAGTGAAGGAAGCCATTGGGCGTTGGTATTTACAGGGGGAATCATCATTTCACGGTTTCTTAGGTGGTGCGAAATGGATTTCGCAAACATCCACAATGGAAGATCCTGCAGACAGCGTATCTGGCAGCGTGCAACATCTCACAGCACTTCTGCCTGCTTGTAGCGGATTGCCAGCCTTTCGCATCTCATGCTGCAAATCTCATGTCACCATGCGACCCACTTGAGGCTGTCACTGGTGGCTGCCTCAGCTACTGATTTCTGTTGTTGAGGCTGGCAACTGAATCGAGACGACACATGCCGAACAACGACATGTTCCCCCTCCCAGCAGGTTTTGTGGCCAAAGGTAGCAGTGCTGATCTGTCACGTGAAGCAAGCATGAGAAACTGCTCCCTCGAAAACCATCGGGCGCAGCACGCAACGTTGATGCGGGTGTTGGGCAGAATGGACTGGAGCAACCTTGGGCATGGCCGCAGCTGGCCAATCTTTTCATCGCAGGACTGGCCACTGACCACTCACGGGTTCCTTAGGCGCCCAGCTCCATGGCATCCTCTCTGCCTCCAATCGCCTGCTATACGTCGACCGTCCGTGACTTCCCCAGTGCTCAGTGACATGTCCGGACCTTCTCCATGGGCGCACGGTCGCCGGCATCCCCGCCGCGGCGCTGCAAAGATATGAGGCTCCCTCTCCCTCTCCCAACGGAAAAAGAAAATGACCAACATCCTTTGCCAGTGACTCAGCGTGCCCATTTCACGAGACGCGTCTTGGAGCTCAGGGTCTCTGTGAGAATCTTCAACCAGCCAAACAGTGGAACAACACTTCAGACAAACCAGCATCAGCAAAACGACTCAGCTTATACACGAGATGGAAACAATTGGCGCTGTGAGTCTGCCTAAGATGTCTGCGTTCATGTTTGATACGGCGACCTTTCCAGACGCCTTACAATATTCCGAGCCTTCAGCGCAGCAAGCGCTTCCAGTTGAGCCTCGGAAGTCTTCAAGGGCTGGTTTTGTATGTGACATATTGTTTTGCGCATGCCGCACACTCTTTCACTCCGAGTGCAGCACATCACCCGCCGTGCCCATACCGGTCCATTGGGCCCTTAGCGATGCAAAGGCAGCGCTACCGCCACGCGCTTCGGCTGTGGATCCGGCGGGTCTCTGCGCTCCATGCCCGGAGGATGGCCTCCAGGTCTCTGTGAGAGGGTATGGGTCAAAATCAGTCACCAACAGGGGGCAATCCGCTGGTTTTCGTCCTTGGTTCCATTCAGGGCAACCCATTTTGGGGTACCCTAGTTTGGACCCAAGCCCATACATAGATGGCGCGACTTGCAGATCTCGTCTCCCAGCCTTCCCGGTCGCCTTTCCTGGCAGCCTCATACAAGGCCGCCTGGGCCGCGTGGGCCGCGTGGGCCGCGTGGGCCGCTTGGGCCTCCAGGTTCTGCTGCAGAGCCTGGTGGTACCTGAAGCAAGCTTAGGAACAAAGAGAAATCGGCAGAAATGGATGTGATGTTTAATGGAGGGGCCCTTTGGTGGACATCATTTAGGTGCCACCAACGGCTGTTGAAAAGAGAAAGTCGGAGCTCAACAAGCTTGGGCACGCAGCAGCAGCGAGGCGTTCCTGCTGTTCCATGTAGGCACTCCAAGCTGAGTGCTCAGTGAAAGCTCGCATCGCGGCTTCGTACCTCAAGTCAAGGAACTCATCAAAGCTATAATATGTCTCCTAGCAACGCCTTTGAAGTGCATCCCATGTTTGGTCACTGACCTGCCTGCTCAAACCACTCGGCTATGTGGCAAACGCAAGCTGGCTGGCAGCAAAGCTCAGTGTACCCAGCTTGGCGCACCCAGCTCGGTCACCTCTGGCATATGCTTGGTGCGCAGCCTCGCAAGTCGACGGCAAACGATGTGTCAGGATGTTCAGTATCATCTCAGCAATGCTTGAAAATGACAGCACATGTAAACTATATGGAACGATGGCAGAAGTGACTGAGAATGCCAAAAGAGATGACAAGTCCCCTATGCTTCACATCCCTCACGCCTTGCCTCGTGCAAGCTTCTTGCCTGCAGCGCTGCCAGGGATGCTGCACCCTGAGCCACGAGTCGGACTTGACTCGTTCGTTCAGCTCACATCGCGCGCAGACTGCGCGCCTGCAACCCCAAGCCGTGGCGCAGATCCATCGGAGGCTCGGCCTCTGGAGGCTCCTCCGGCTTCCGCACCTGCTTGCCGTTCAGTAATATTATGTCACTTGCCAGCTTGAATTCAGGGCAGCACGTGGGGAGCCAAGAGATCTGCAACCTCACAGACTCTCAACGACCTGACGACCTGATGGCCTCTGATGGCCACTCTCCTCACCTGCCACCTGGTGACCTTGTCCCTTTCATGCCAAGGGCCCTGCCGACAGCGAGGTCGCGCTGGGCGGGTTTGCTGGCCGGTGCGAGGCGTACCTGCATCAGCAGTAGTCTGGGCGCTCTGCTCCACGCACTGAGCTCCTCCCTTCGGCTTTTTCTCTCAAGTGCGCGTGGCAGCTGTGCAGCACCGCCATGGCCAGTCTGCAGAAGCCGCGCAACTCGTCAACTCCCAGAACCGGCGGTGAAGCGTCCTCGACGCCAAAGCTGTTCCCAGCAACTTGTCCGTTCGTCACGCAGTCAGTTGTTCTTTGAGATGCGGAAGTGATGGATGGCGGTGGAGCATGCTTGGACTCCGGAAGAAGCACCACTGCGGATATTCGCTTCCGCTTGCCATCACCATGTGCACTGCTTCGCACCTGCCGTACACATTTTTTTCAACTGCACAGGCTCATTCCACACGCGTCTTTTGGGTCCTGCCTCAAACTATGACCACCATCGCTTCAAAGACCATGCCGAGGTGCTGAGCGTCATGGACTCTTTCTCTCTCTCTCTCTCTATCTCTCTTTCTCTACTTCTCTCTTCCTCTTCCATTCACATCTTCATCTTCAGGAGCCCATGCCAACTCTCCCCAGCATTTCAAGGCATGGCTGAGGGCAGGGCTAAACGCGAGAAAGCAGCTCGAGCGCGTGCAAGTGCTGCCCGCCCCGATGTGTAGCTGCAAGTGCAGATGACATGGAGATGATGTTGGGCCTCAGAACTGTAAGACTGACGCAGACGCAGGATCTTGCTCAAGAGTAGGCAGCGTAGAAAACATTGCAACGAAGTAAGGCTCCTGCGAGACATGGAATGTTCTGTCCATCCTCAACTTTGCAGCCGCAACAAGTAGTCCCAGCTGCACGAGAGATCTGATGACCGACGAGAACATATCAAAATGTCTAAAACAATGTCGGTGCATGCCAAGGAGCTCAGAGAAGAGCAGTAGGGTGTGCTGCCAATGGCATGTCTTCTCACATGCACTGAGGCAAGCAGTGCAGCTTTCCACATTTGGTGGGACGTGGTTGAAGCTCCTAAGCACTGGCTGCAAGCAGAGTCGACATAATTCGCCTCAAGCAATGCACCAAATGATTGGTCGCGAAAATATGCACTTTGTTAGACGAACTCTGTGAAATAAGGGACCCCTCCAAACGGGTGAGTCTGTGTGTGTGTGTGTGTGAGAGGTCCCTTTCAAGCTTGATGCTCTGGCGTGAGCACAAATAGAGGCCCTGCAAAATTGTTGCAAGTTTCATGGGAAAGGCACATTTGATGCAGCACTGCGAGCGCCAGTTCCCATACGGAGCAGGTCTCACAAGCACTGATCGTTGCACTCCATACGAAGCTATCCGGAACCTTCCATGTTCGCACTGATGAAGCGACCCTTGCCTTTCATTCCGCAGCGCTTGACAATGGGAGAGTTTGCTGACTTTTGGGCTACCTGAGGACAAATGCATTACACAACATGAAAAGGATGCAACAAATCAACTCAACTGGCAGAAGGGTAGCACAACCTTGACACACGAGCACAAGCTGGCAAGCCCCTGAAATTTAGACCTGGGATGGTCGAGCCACGCCGGCCGCATCAGGCCCAACATGCAGGAGCATTCAAGGGCAAGGCACGTCTTGCAGAGTTTGCAAGCCAGTTTGAAACAAGGCGCAGTAGGCAGCACATGCGGAGCACAATGCCTATACAACAATGAAATGCGTATGAAGCGGCATGTGCCAGGTGCACCGAATGGTCGTACATGTCGTGCAATGGCAGAGTCATGCTCCATGAGGCCACCGGGACTGTCAACAATGTCTGCTTCAAAGTGCGTTTTGTACAGCACTCGCAGACGCACGCGAAAGCGAGTGCCGCCTTGAAGAGAATAGAAAAGGACCGACGGACTAGAACTTGGAAATGACTCCAGCACTGACACAACGAAGGCACGCTAGCGTTGTAGTGGCCATCTAGCGGGCGAACAGCCAGAAAAGGAGCTAGTGGCAAGCTTGCTATCAACTTGCTGCTGCCCCGCAAACATACAAACATGCCACATACTGCCTTTGCCAGACTCACTCAAAGCCCTGCCAAGCTAAAAGCATTTTAGCAGGAGGTGGGCCGCCAAAGGCTTCATCAAGGACAGGTGCCAGCGATTCTAGACCACCCAACACATGTGCATATTCTTGGCTGAATGAATAAAATGTGAACCTTGTACATTTGTAGCATTTGCATGTGTTTCGTCAGCATGCAATGTAGATGGCAGGAAACCAATGTGCGCGGCTTATGCAGCGCTGCAGAGCGGTCAAAAATGGAGCATGTGCTTCTAAGAATTGCATCCTGTGCTTTCAATGGATGTGCGTGTGAGGCACGCTCTTATGTCGGTCGAAAACAAGTGTCCCAAGCACACACACACACACACACACTGTGCTAAGATCAAAGCTATCATTTGTAGCATGTTCGTGTGTGATGTGTGGTTATGCAAAACTCAAGCATGCGCAATGTAAGTAAAGCCAACTAGCCATTGGGCCATCAGACCACAAAACCCAATACATGTTTCCCAGTTTCTGTCTGATCCATCGTCGCGAAAGCCGAAAGCTGTGGGATCACAGGACGAGGCACTCGCGAAAGCTGTGCGACTTCTCCCAGCAAGCCAATGGAGAGCTGCCACCGATGCCCTTTCTGCCCACAAGCGCTGATTGCAGCAGAGCCGCTGATGTTATTCACCGGCACCTGGTGACGGAAAAGCGGCCATCGCCAACGCAGAAAATCCAGTTTGCGTCAAGGCACTCGAATGTGGCGCATTAGTGACAGAAGCTCCAACACCATCTGCCACTCGCTGCCTGGAATTGGACTCATGGATCCGGATTTGTCAAGAGGCCACGACTGAAACCACTGTGACTTGGCCAGGCCTCGCTCGCAGGCATTGATTGCCGCACCAAAGCTGAAGGCGTCTTGAGACAACCCGCGCCTGCAGCCAGCACCCGTAGTTGCAAGCTCACCCTCCACAAAGCGTCAGGATAGCTCTCGACTTTGTTTTTTGAAGGATTTTGAACACGCATGTCAGGCCTCCAAATGCCTAACAAGTCTCCAAATGAAACGCCTCCAAGCAGCAAGACTCCTTGGAACTTGCAACCAGTTCAAGGTGCCAGATCAAATCCCTGCAACTTCCCTGAATGACCCAACTCCCTCCCCAAACCCCCGGCAAACTCCTGGAACCCCAAGCGCCCTTCTGGCCTGGGCATCTCAAGCAGCAGCGCCACAGCCCCGGCCCACTCCACTCGACACACGTCGATGGCCGAGTTGAAGCCTGAGCGACGGAGGGTTTCTGCGGGGAGCGTTGGTGGGACATAGGATCTCCAAGCTTGGGGAAAACAATGTAACCTCTGCGACGAAATAGTGTTGGGAAGCGACATTCACCAAAGCTGCTTTCGACAGAGCCAGCGCAATCAAGGAGCTCACTTGATCCAGGTTGAATCCTCAGCTCGTTCCAGGGGCTCATCTGAGAAAGAACAAAATGCAAATACTGCCGAGGATCTTTTGCAGGGCATACTGTGCAGCAAGTGCAGCGAAAGATGCCAGCAGCTTCCATTGGCACAAGCAGTCGACGCCGAGCTAAAGCTGATCTGGTTGGGTGAAATGTCTAGGTCCTTCATCTGGTCCTGCAACACATCTTATGCGAATTCAGACAGATGTGGAGGGAGGAAAGCAGGCGTCCCCTTCAACTGCTTGGAAACAAGATGGGTGCTCCTTGCGCTGTGAAACAGCAACGGTGGGATTTCCCTGTTTTCCCAGAAATAGGGGAAGCAGTTTACATTGGCTGTCGAGGGAAAATCTACCCCCCCAAACATCAGAAAACCTGTGGCTGCAAAGTCGACATGACAGTCATCAACATGGCATCGCAGCTCACACAAAGCATGTTACAGTGTGGTTGATGTCTTCTCAGCTTGTGCCGGGGCTTTCGGCTTTCGAAATGCTTGCAGGTGTCTCCTGTTGGCTTTCAGCTGTGCTGGACTTCGAAGCCCACGATTTCGAAGCCTTTCGTTTCGTCGTTTCGCCCGTCCAGCAGCTCCAGCGACAGCCGCCAGTCGTCCTCGCAGGCGGAGATCACCGCGCTGTAGTGGAAGACGTTGACTTCCAGCGCCTCCTCAAGTGTCCAACGGGAAGAGAAAAAAGAGTCATGCAACTGGTGACAAAAAGCCATTTGCACCACACGTACTCCTCATCTTACAAGTGTTTGTGTCAGGAAATATATAAAAACGGAGGAGCAACGGAGTCCTTGAGCATCAGATGAAGAACTTGACCCGCCAGTTGCACCCAGCCCTTCCTTGCCAGCGCCGCCAGCATCACTGTCGCCGGCTTCGGATTGCCCTTCCATCTCTCCTGACACAAAGGCATCGCTCAAACCATGTTGATGGAAAGGTGGGTCTAAGCATACCCTTCAGCTTACACTCGCCTACAAAACTCATAGCATCTTAAGATATGAGTGATATAAGCCCTTGAGGAAGCGACTTGTCCAAAAGCCATCCAAGTCTGTGCCAGAGTCTCCATCTCGGGTGCGAGGACTCTCCTCACCTCAGCTCCAAGACATGGCGGCATTGCTTCTCGCCTGACTTAAATCCTTCGGGGACAATTCACAAGCAACTCGTGGGTTGAAACACCCTGTTCGGAGTGGTAAGTTGGAAGGTAAAGGACACCGGGAACACAGCTCGCTTGTGCCATCTGGTCGGAAAGTGTTTCGGACCACTCCAACGCACGCACTTTGGCTCCCTCGGGGCATTGGGGAGGTCGTTTCAGGGCCATGTGAAACTCGAAATTTGGATCCGGAGGACCAGACCTGCCGTGCACAAAGCCCCAAAACAACATTGACTGCATGACTTGATTGCCAGGCACCGCACCTCATCGTGCCCTGGGTGAGGCCCCAATTGCAGCAGCAGGTCAGGCCGAACCTTCCCCTTGTGCTGCATCCTGCACCGCCGAGGGCAAGGGCATGGGACGTGACAAAGCTTATGAGGGGCACTGAGCTTTAACAAGAAGCCACGTAGATGATCCAAGGTCAGAAAAGTTTGTCCTGGAAGGCACGTGTTGAGGATGAACGAGGTCCGCATAAATCGAGCCCATGTCGAAAAAGTCTGCAGCATCAAGCAGCCCAGAGGCCCGCCCGGCCTGCCCCCAACTCCATGGCCAGTCAGCGCAAGTTTCTGCGAAGCAAATCTGAGCCCATGCCCGCAGTTCGCAGATGCATTGATACGCACATGTGAGCCGATGTCCAAAAATGATACCCGCTTTACGGACAGGGGGAAAATGATAGAGTCCCCCACTTCCCTTCCAAATGGACCATAGAGTCTAGAGTACAGGCATTTCTGACCGAACTTCATGTCGCGGTGCTGACCCAATCAAGATGCTCGTGGAGAAGCGTCCCTGAACAGGCAATGGGGGCACGCGTTCAGCAGATGGCCTTTGCCAGCCTGCACAGAATCAGCATGTCTGATTCCAAAGTCTTCCTGGATTTTTGTATCTGTCCGTTTCATATGGTTTGCCTTGTTCGCTGAAACAAAAACAGACGGAAGCCCCTTGGACAGGTCCCTCAAGCGCGCCTGCGCCGCTTCCAGAACACTTGTGCTCGTGAAGACACCCTCAGTGGGGCATGGAATAAGCACCGAAACAGCAAAGAGAAAACAGAGCAAACGCATGATGGTGGAAACTCATGTAGGTCGTGGTTGACCACTTACCAACCCCAAAAAAGGAGATGACTTTTGACTGCACACATCCTTCGCATGGAAACCACAAAAAGCATCGCGCAAGGGGGTCCCGAGGCAGCTGCAAGACCAGGGCCGCGCTGTCCAGCCTCGTCCACTGGCCGGTCCGGGGCTGCGGGGAGGTCGGCCAGGACTGGCAGATGGGGCAGACGCTGAGACAGGCGCCCACTTTTCCACGAGAGATGGGAGGATCAAAATGCAAAAATTGGTTCCGACAAGGTCACAACAGGTTGTCCCTTCCGGGCGGCAATGCTCGTGATTTTGTGGCTGCAATTTTCACGACGTACACTTTGCGGGACCAAGTATTTCAGCCCGCTTGACCTTTGCACAGGGAAGCCAATCGCTCCTCACCCACATAGACATTTTGCCATGCTAGCTCTATGACTGTGCCACGCTTCAAAGGTGCACAGTCACTTCGGCGCAAACAGGAGCACTAGAAAGACTCCTCTTTGGGAATCAGCAAGTGTTTTCCAATGCATCATCTCTCAGCAGTGCATCGTCCACCGCCGCAACACATCCTTATTTTGTCTGTACGTGAGTCTTGTTCTTCAAAGTCTCGATCTGCAACATAAACAGCCCAACTCTGGAGACACAACTGAGGCGATCACTATCCAACACCAGGATGCAAAGCCAGGACAGCAGCGTCAAGGCGATCAAAATAGCTCCTGCACTGGCACCCCATACTCCCTCTTCGCTTTACTGACTGACAACCAATTCCCCCCTCCTCGCACACGTGGCAGGTTCTCCAAAGGGATTGAAATGAAGAACTGGACCGCAAAGCCCAGGCTTTGCCACAGCTTGTAGTTGGCCATGGCGGGCACCACCTTGCTGGACCCCGCGTAGAAGGTCTGCAGCGTCATGGGCGGGCCCGCCTCCCAGAAGGAGTCCCCCAACGCGAAGACCGCCGCCAGCAAGAAGACCACCACCACATCCAGCGCTTGCACCTCCATGCCAGGGGCGTGCTCCCAGGATGTGCCACCGGCCACACGCCGCCAGTTGGCCGGCACAGGCCACAGCAGCTTGGCCACCAGAAAGCCCAGGACAAGCAGAGAGGCCACGGAGAAGACCTGCCGCCGGCTCAGCATCTTGCGCGACAGCAGCACGCCCCAGGCCGCCGAGGCCGCAGAGTTCACCCCGAAGAAGGTGGCCACTACGAAGCCAGTAAAGGCTGGCCCGCTCACTCGGCACGTGACATCCGTCTGGAAGTCCCCCAGAAAGAAGGCCAAGGTCATGCCGTTGGTCAACATCAACGGGATCATCAGGCCCACGCGCGCGTCCGTAAGAGCTAGCCGGCTGGTGTCCAGGAGCCCAGGATGACTGCTGTCAGCCGCACCTTCCACAGTCGGCATTAGCAGAAAGACGAAGGCTCCCAGAAGACAGAAGATGCCAAGGGTCACGAAGAGCACTTGCTTGGCCCATTCCACCTCCCCCAACGCAAGCAAGATAACGGATGCCAGGATGTTGCCCGACATTCCCGCAAACTGGTACATCGAGAAAAAGATGCTATTGTATCCTTGCCAGGCGACGCAGGCATATTTGACATGAAATCGGCAATGAACTTGCAGCTGTCGCTAGAGAAAGACTCTGTAAATCAAAAGGCAACAAAACCCAAGAAAGACAGGAGGCGAGTGGTCCACTTCTCCGCAGGCTCTTGCAACAAGTCTGCTGCCTTCGCAGCACATCTTGCCACATAAGTATTCTGCCCCGTCCACAGCAAGGGCGCGGCAACCCCAACCAGAACATTGAAGGTCACTGGAACCTGGGACGGAGCTGACCCGAGGCTGTTTGCAGTGTGGAAGGAGGTGACCACACGTGACCACCCGACTCGCGACGCGCGGGCGCGATCCGAACCAAAACTTCCTCCAAGGCACTGCCCAAACCGGGGATGGTGTGGCGGGAACTGCCAAAATGTTGGAGAGAGCCTGGGAGCGTCTCACAACAAACTAACGCAGGCCCCACAGGCGCCATGACTGTGCAGTCACGAGGCCATCGCTGCATATACAGCAGCACATATCAGGAGTAGGACTTGCATCCCCATGCATCTCTCCAAGTAAGAGAGCACCGGCGGGGCGACAAGACACAGGACGGAGAAGGCACCATACCTAGAACACAACATGTCAAACCAGATCAATGCACGCAGTCCCCTTCCGCGTTCCGCTCCTTTCGGCTGGGTGTCTGGGCCAGCCATGGTCTCCTAAATTCAAATTGGCCTTCCCAAAAAGGTGAGACATGTCACCCATGTAACCCTGCTTCCCCCCCACTCGCCCCCGCCAAAAAGGGACGGAGACTCGGTGACTTCTCTCTCCCGCTCTCCTGCTCTCCCGCTCTCCTGCTCTCGAGCTGAGCGCCGCGCAGGCAGGCGAGGTTCAGCTGCCCGAGCTCCGCGTTCAACGAGCTCTGCAGGCCTTGCGCCGCCTGGAAGCCCCCGAAGACCCCCAGGAAGCCCAGGCTCAGCAGCCTCAGATCGGGTTCGAGTCGGGCGAGCTTCGGCTTTTCTTCGCTTTGACTTTCTGTAAATTCTTGGGGCTTTCCCCGGTTCTCCCGAGAACTTCCGCGTTTTTGCAGGGGTTGATTTGAGGTAAGGAGAGAGAGAGAGAGAGAGAGAGAGAGAGAGAGAGAGAGAGAGAGAGAGAGAGAGAGACAATACCCTTGTTCAGAGCTGCCATATCCTGCTGCTGTTGTTGTTGTTGTTGCTTCTGCTGCTGCTGTTGTTGTTGTGGTTGTTGTGGTGGTGGCGGTTGTTGCTGTTGTTGTTGTTGTTGTTGTTGCTGTTGCTATTGCTATTGTATACCCATCTGGGGATGAACTGTTGAAAAGGGCGCTTTGGCGAACATCGAACATGTTTGCCAGGATGGATTCAATCAGCATTGTTCCAACCGTAAACATATGTAACATAGCCGAACGAAGGCAAACATGTTGTTTACACCACCCCCCCGAGGCAAGGCACCGCACTCCCCTCTGCAGCGAGGCTTCGTTGGCCGTGCCAGTGACGGCCATGGCTCGACTGGGGAGCTTGAGCCGAAGGGACTCGAATGCAAAGACAGCCCAGCCAACACAGAGATTCAACTCAACCGAAAACCCGCTCCAAATTGCAGGTCCGGCCTGATTCCAGGGTTTCCTCCTGTCACAGCGTGCTGTGCGCCACTTCTTGAAAGTCTCAAACAGCGGTCCTCGGGGCCTGTAGCTGCCCGCTCTCTGTGCCTCGAGCTGCCCTCTGGCCAAGCCCCACTCACCTCCCCCCCCATTCCCCCGAGTCGTAGTGAACGATACTTAAGGGGCACCATGCCGAGGGTGTTGATTGCTCCCGTTTCGACTGGGCTCCAGGCACTGGCAGGTTTTGCAGGCCTAGGCTCATGACCGAAAAAGATTGGTCAAGCCCATGCACTCGAGCTGCACCAATGGGCCGCGGGCCTGCAAACATTCCTGCCTGCAGCCAGTTGTTTCACTTGCAAAATCTTTGACACAAACCGGAAAATGGCTGGTCTTTCTGGGAGAACAAGTAGTGATCACAAACTCGACTCTGCGACTGGACAACTGATTTCTGCATTCCTCTCTGAAGAACCCAGTCCCGCTCAATCAGTCCCAGTCCTGTAAGGCACCAGGAGCACCTGGCTGTGCCCAGTTCGGTTCGAGGAATGCACCCCCTCTAGAACTTGGGCTTGGGCTTCCCAGAACTGGTCGGGAAGGCTCGAGCCTGCAAAGCGAGCCATCGAATTCATGTCCTTTTTGACGCGACTCGACGCACATGAAGCCAAGTGGCCTGGATGCGAAGGCTTGGCCTGGAAACTGCACACGGCATGAGGGCAGAACCAACGGCATTGAAAAATGAGCCGATCTGTTGTGCCCATTGATACATTTACAAGTTCATAAGATGTTGGTCTTCTGCGGAGGCCCACTGACAGCGGCTTGAATGCCTTCCAGTTCCGGCTGTAGCTCTGCCTTGCTGAACAAAGGCCATGTCATGTGCATGTGCAAGACATGCACAGGGGGCGTGCCTCCCACAGGGCACCAGGCCTCGCCTCTGCCTCGACGCCCAGTGCTCTCTGCGAGAGCTGAAGATACTTGCCGTTGCATGGCAAAGGCGTCGCTGGACCTGCCTTGGGTTGCTCTGGGACCCAGGTCGGAGGACTCGAGGGCGGCGCCTACGCAACACCGAGCTTTGCAGCGGAAAGCGACGTGACAAAGGCATTGCTTTGCACAGAGTGCGTCATGCATGCTGGCAGAGACCGTTGAGGGGCCTGTTGCGGCAGCTGCTGAGGCAGTGGAGGCTGAGATGGAGGTGCTTGTGGTGTGGAGGGTGGCAGTTCCTGTGGCAGCGCTTGAGGAGCTTGCTGTGGTCGCTGTTGCGGAGGCTGCTGTGGTGGCTGCTGCGGTGGTTGTTGTGGAGGTTGTTGTGGAGGCTGCTGTGGAGGTTGTTGTGGAGGTTGCTGTGGAGGTTGCTGTGGAGGCTGCTGCGGTGGCTGCTGTGGTGGCTGTGGTGGTTGCTGTGGAGGTTGCTGCGGCGGCTGTTTTGGAGGTTGTTGAGGAGGCTGCTTGGGTGGTTGCTGTGGAGGCTGCTTGGGTGGCTGTTGGGGTGGCTGCTGTGGAGGCTGCTGCGGTGGCTGTTGTGGTGGCTGTTGCGGTGGCAGCTGAGGTGGCTGGTGTGGCCGCTGCTGTGGCGGCTGTTGAGGAGGTTGCTGTGGCGGCTGCTGCGGAGGCTGCTGTGGTGCTTTTTGCGGTGGCTGAGTTGGCCTGGCGCACAAGACACAGTGAGGCATGTGCAGGTGCTGTAGTCAGTCTCAATACTGTGAGCCCCATCTTAGCCTTTCAAAGGACAAAAGGGAAACCAAAAGCCATCAGGAGCCCCGATTGAGACAGCCGCAAGCCACGCCAGGCTGGCGGCTGCGCCGGCTGACTTGGCACCGGTTGCACAGGTGGCACCGGGGCGGCCGGCGCAGCCGCCGGCGCCGCCGCCGCCGCCGGCGCTTGCGCTGGAGGCATTGACCTGAGGTTCGAGTCGCGCTTTGGGCACTTGGAAGGGAACGCACATCCGCCCCGAGCCAGAAGCAATCCGCGTGACAACTCAAACAGCTCAGCAACGGGCGGCGGTTGGGAAGCAGGCTGCAATTTGGCTTTGGCAGCCTCGGCAAGATTTGCACTGCAAAGGGTCAGGATTCCGATGGGAGAAATGGGTGACTAAGACTCTGTTGGTTTCCTTGCGAAACCGTCTGACTGGGGGGGAAGGCCCCAAACATATCCGTGCGACCGAATTCAAGCCTTCTGTCACAGCTCAAGCTTACTTCCTCCAAGACACAGGAGTGACTGTGGGTGGTGCAGATGGCGCCGCCTGGCACAAGTCTCTGCGTGCGATGCAACGGCAAATACCTACAGGCATGCGGCAGCATCACAACTAGGAGCTGCCAAATTACCACAAGATAGCTTCTATATTTGATTATTCCACGCCTTGGGCGGCTTCTCCGGCGTCTCCTGCGGCACCTCCTGCGGCGCCTCTTGCGGCGCTTCTTGCGTCTCTTGCGGCGCAGACCTTCCCAAGCGGCACCCACCCGAGCTCAAAGAGCGCAAGTCCGAAAGACCATCCCGGACTCCACTTAGAGCATCTGATACCTAGCTCCCATGCTGGCAATCATGAAATCATGGCCTGCTAGCAGCAGAGTTGCTGAAAGCCTGAGGTCCACTGATAGATGCGTTGCACGCACAAATTCCCCACACCGGTAAGGCCCGCACCTCACCGGCTCCTGCGGCCAAGAGCCGACAGCTCAGCGTTCCCCCAGACTCGATGTTAAGTCCGAATCCCTTGGCTGAGCGCCTACAACTTACTTCTTACGGATCCTTGTTTTTTATCCACACAAGACCTCCACGCACAGTGTCTGCCGTGGCTGCACCAAGATCTGGGGATTCATCCGGGCCTTGCAGCTCCGGCGCTTCAGGCGCACCTCGGGCCAGGGTCCCCTGGGATACCCCATCGCGGCCATGCGAGCCGCACCCCCCGCGGCCCCGCCTTCCGGCTGCGCCTCGTAGCCGTTCACAGCTTCTCTGTCTTTGCCACCCTCGGATTCGCTCGGATTCGGAGACGAAGCTTGCGGATTCGGCAACGGGAAACGCCGGATTCAGCAAACTTGGAGCAGGCATGAGAGACAAGTTCCTGGAGCGTAGTTGCTGTTCTGTGCGAAAGCTAGTTTCTGAATCGCAATTCCGGAAGCCCGGCAAAAAAGGCGTGGATACACTCCTGTGCAGGCACTCTTGAGTGTCTGTGCCTATCCTTGGGCAGGCGCGGATGCAGTGATGAGCGGGTGTTCTTGAGAGCGGGTCGTTTATGATTTGACAGGCGTGGTCACAGTGCTGCGCAGGTACTGTACTGTTAACGCTGTTAAGCGGGTGTGATGGTAATTTGGCTGGCGCGGATGCTGTGATGAGCGAGTGCTCTTGCGGGGGTGGGCGGGTATGCTCATCGTGTAGCAGAAAATAGTTGCTGACGCGCAGTTTCTGAATCGCACAAAAAAAAAAACTTGCTGAAGCACAGTGTCTGAATCGCTGAATCGCTCGAAACTAGTTGCTGAATTGCAAGTTGCTGAATTGCAAGTTGCTGAATTGCAAGTTGCTGAATTGCAAGTTCCTGAATTGCAAGTTGCTGAATTGCAAGTTGCTGAATTGCAAGTTGCTGAATTGCAAGTTGCTGAATTGCAAGTTGCTGAATCGCTTGAAAATAGTTGCTGGATTGCGCACGTAGTTTGCAACATCGCAGTTGCTGAATCGCTCGAACATAGTTTCTGAATCGTGAATCGGCACACGCCTGTTGCTCAATTGTCAATACAAGTTCAAAGGAAATCCTCAATGGGGCTTCGCGTGCTAAGCAGCATCTGCACAACCCGTACCCGCACCAAGATAAGGCACCTTGCCATCCTTGCCCGTGTCTTTCCACTTCCCCTTCCCCCAAGTTCCATCCTTTCTGTAGGCCTGAGGGCAATGCGCACATACCGCGGACAAACTTGTCCACACACAGGCCTTGTCCTGATTCCAGTTCCACTCCTTCTCCTGATTCCAATCCTTCCACCCGTCCTTCCAGTTGTTCCAGTCCTTCCAACCTGCAGGCGAGCAGTTGAGCCCAAGCGCTTCAGATGACCAAAAGTGGATCTGAGCCGCCAACCTCTGTCTTTGCTATCCTTGGCCTCTTTGGCCTTACCCTCCTTTCCCTCCTTACCCTTGCTGTTGCCGTCTTTGCCCTCCTTGCCCTTCCCATTGCCCTTGCCATCCTTGCTACCCTTGGCATCCTGGCTCCAACCGCCGAACCGCAGAAAAAACAAGCAAAAAAAAGCGCGCACCGTCCTGGCCTCCCAGTTTCCATGCCATCCCCAGCCTCGGTTCGAGCGAAGGAACAAACTGTGCGACTGCGCAGAACCCAGAGGCCCAGGCCATGATTGCCCTTGCCATCTTTGCCATCCTTCCCTTTGCCCTCGGTGAAACCAAAGGCATGGAACATGAACTTGCATGTAATCGAATACGCCGCCTTCCATGAGTTGTCATGGTTTTCTTCCACCAGCTTGTGCAAGAAATTACAATCCTGGAGGGAACAGCTGGCAGTGCCTGCAAGAAGGCATAGCAGCCTGCCTTGCGCTCACATTTTTCTCCCTCAAGAAACTTGCGGCAGTACCTGGGGAAGCGGTTCCTCTATCGGCCCTGATCTTGCCAAAACTGCAACCCGGCAGCCATAACTCATAGCAATGGATAAGGTGAAAAGCAGCTGTTCAATACCAACCCGCTGTGGGAAGGAGCCCAAGTGGCACCTAGGCCATTCTCACTTGTATCATACAATCATACAGCTTCACGAAATCTCAACCTTGCTACTTATCAGTAGCTGACAAAGCCAGGCGTCGCAAAAACACCGCCTGGAAGAGCAGCAGTATTGGCAACGACGACAGGGCGGCAGCGACGAAGACGAGGCAACGAGGAGGACGAGGACGAAACCGAGGAGAAGAAGGAGAACGACAACCAGCAACAACAACCAACAACAACCCACAACAACAACAACAACAACAACAACAACAACAACAACAACAACAACAACAACAACAACAACGACAACAACAACAACAACAACAACAACAACAACAACAACAACAACAACAACAACAACAACAACAACAACAACAACAACAACAACAACAACAACAACAACAACAACAACAACAACAACAACAACAACAACAACAACAACAACAACAACAACAACAACAACAACAACAACAACAACAACAACAACAACAACAACAACAACAGCAGCAGCAGCAGCAGCAGCAGCAGCAACAACAACAACAACCGTACTCAGCGGGAGCGGCCTTTCGGGGCACTTGGTGGTTCCGAAGTTTGCTCGGAGCATGTGGCCGTCCACAGCAAATCCGTCCACTGCCTCACAATGAAGGCGATCGCCACAGATTGAGTCATGATGACGGGTTTGTTGCAACTGTATAAAAGCAAAGCGGTGAAACTTCTAGCCCAGTAAAGGGTAGCAACCAGGCTCTGTCCCAAATTCTGCACATGTCAAGTGGCCTGCTGCCCTATCATTGGCGCATGAGGAGATGTGACTTTGGATAAAGAAGGACACCCACCCACACACACACACACACACCCAAACACATCTCTGGCCTGGATTGCCACATAGGCATCCTCTGGCTTCTCGAACGTTAAATACCTGGCAACGTTAGTATGACATAACTTCAGCCCCTCACATGGTATGACGAAACGTAAGTTTTGCAACACGGAGCACGCGCTGTAGACAGGCACGCTCTTCTCATTCCCGTGGGATTTCGACTGGCATGGCTGAAAACCCAGCCAGTGAGAGTGGATATCCAGCAAAAAATCGCGCGGAGAATTGCTCTCTCAATCTACATTATTTTGTCAGCGGCATACCTGCATCATTCCGTCCATGTGAAAACCGAGCATTCATGCTACTGACAGTCTGAAACTACTTCGCACCTGCACTGGCAGCTTGCTGACCGTCACCCTTTGCAACTTGCCATACCTGACCGTGCATCTGCACATTCGCATCTGCAGATCTACCATGGCACTAGCGCCCCAAGGCGCACTGGCCAAAAAACTCCGGGCATTTCAGGATTTCTGCTTTCGCCTTGAGTGAATCTCTAGCCAAAATGCGACCTTTGTCCAAGTCGGCTTGGTATTCTGCTGAGGCCCCTGCAATGTTGGTCGTGAGGCCGATCACGTGCACTACATTCCTGCGGTATATGTCTTGCCTACATCTCTCTGCGCATTCTCACAACCTCTGCTTGCAAATGCCCACATTTTCTTTTGCGAGCGTGCACTAGGCTGCATTTGCGGGCCAGTGACGCCATGAAGCTAACTTGACTCTGTACACTTCTCAGCTTACGCGTGTGAAGGGCGGCGGTAATTGGCAAACAGCTTTTCAAGCTTTGCCAAAGGAGACCTTGGCAGGTGTCAGTGGCTCACGCCAAAAAAACTCGGGAAAAGTGGCGGAGAAGCGCCCAGTCATCATGCTGCACTGCAAACCTGGTTGTGTTTCAATCTGTTGCATTAGCCTGGATGGTACGCTCGGCAGCTCAACACGGCAGTTCCTTGACAAGGCACTGAAAGTGGCTCGTTCTCAGCCAAGAAAACTAGATGGCTCTTGCAAGTCGCGGCAGCTGACAACGCACTTCAAACCAGGTCAATACACTGTTGAAGCTTCATGCCCGTTTTAGTTTGAACTTACAGCGGCCTACAAGATAACCTTGCTAGCTGCTTTGATGTTCTGTCGGATGGCTGCTGCTCAGCCTGCTTGTAGCAGCTCTTGTTTTCAACGGAACTTCCAACCAGGCAACCAACTAGGCGCGTAGCCCGTCTGGAGCTTGAGCTTCGGCAGACTGCCTGCGCCTGAGCACGCGCACTCGCGCTCCTCAAGTTGCATCTAACTTCAGCTTGGAGCGTGGAAGAGTTCGTCGGCTGTGCCGGGACTGCGGGTTTTGCAGTCCTTGGAATTGATCCATTCCGAGCAACCGACAACTCAACGTTTGCTTGACGGAGACCCCCTCTACGCTTTGTCAAAATGTGTCGAGGCAGCCAACTAAGAGACCCACGTGTCTCCAGAAGCTTCAGCAGACATTCTTCGCCTGCATTTGTAGATCAATCGCGGGCTACACTTCCACCTCTTAGCTCCCGACGCAGAGATGCTCATCCGCTGCACTACTGGGAGTATTGGTTTGCCAAGCCTCGGAATTCATCTGCTGCACAGCAGATGAGCTATGGACAAAGTTGCCAGCACATTCCTATCAGTTCAGCGCCAAGGCAGCCAACTAAGAGAAACGCTCGTCTCCTGCACTTTCGGCAGACATCCTTCGCCTGCATTATGCAGCTCAATCGTTGGTACAACGCTTATTCTAAGCTACCCCGTCTTGGCTCCCAGCGTAGAAACACTCATCCGCTGTACTGCTGACACTGCTGATTTGGCCGCCCTAGCCAACACATCAAGCTCACTTGGCTTTATGCAGGCACATCAGCTCTTGAAAGAGAGGTGCAACTTGCAGCAGGCCAGACTTGGCATCACTGGGCCCGCCGCTGCCACTTTGACAGCTCCCCGGGCCTGAACGACCCAAGTTGACCAGAGTCTTTGTAAGCAATTCAATCTGTATGCATGCGCCCACATTTGTCATGATAAAAACTGTATGCCACCACGCAGAAGAAAAAGGCGCGCGTGCCCGCACGCACCCACACCCACACCCACACCCACAGGCACGCCACATGCACGTACGCACGTACGCGCAAGCACGCAAACACGCCCACGCACAGGCGCGCACACACACAAACACACTTAAACTCGCGAGGGAGAGTAAAGTGGTTCGAGTCGAGCGGTTTGAGTGGGTTGAGTGGGTTGGATGGAGTGTCAACAAGTGAAATCGAGTCAGAATGCTTCCCTCTACTTGGTAACAACGGTTCACGGGGGGTGGGGATCAACAAGACCTTCCAACTCACTGGAAGTACGGGCAAACCGGTAGTGCGAGGTTTCCCTCCGACCCGTCTTCTGTTGTTGGGCAACGTAGGACGATGGGTCGTTGTCCCCCTGTAATACGGTTGGCCTTTGTGTAGATCAGGGGTCCGGCACAAACACGCACACACACACACACACAAACACACACTGGCAGAGCGCCTTAAGGAGTAGCGGTCCTTCTTGTCTTCTTTGTCTGGTTACGCGTCAACATGCGATCCGACGGTTGGAGAGCGTGACGAGTCATCAAGCCGTGAGTTCATTGGTGAGTGTGTGTGCTTTCAGCAAGTGAGCCTGCAAGAGGCTCAGCCGGGCGCTTGGTTCTTGGAGGAGGTTGGTGAGTGCGCGAGACCCCGTACAGTTTCTCTAAGGTTTTTTTCGGCTTGTGTCTTAGTGCAGGTGTTGTGAGTTGTACTCCTGGTTTTACAGGAGCTCTCTGTGGGGAAGGCCTGATAACAAAGGCCAGCGTCATACTGGTGACCATGAGCGTGCAGGGGGCAGAGGCACCTACATCAGGACCTCTGCGAACAAAATTGGCTGGTGTGCGGCGGGGATATGCGGCCTGATCAGCCGCGCGTGCCTGCGTCTTTATTTCGATATCTCAACCTCCTCCAAAACGCAAGGGCCCCGG